ATTCCGGCGACGACTGACAGAGGCATGACGAGATGTGTGGCGACAGCTTTGCGGGTCCACGTCTGCTGACGACTACTGGCGCCTCTACCACAAGGCCACCCGTCCAGCGGGCGATTGCGGGGTGGAGGATCTACAACTTGAGAGCGGGACGGCATCTACCAACCGGGAGAAAGCCACCGCTTTGACCAAGACTTTCTTCCCACCGCTGCCACCAGCATCGCCAGACCTACCAGCGGAGGAGCCGGATACATCCTGGGCCACACATTGACCACCTGGCCCCGTGGAGCATGAGCCTATGACCAGTGAGGAGCTTTACCGAACGATTAAGCGACTTAGGGTTTCTGCAACACCGGGATTAGATAGAGTGTCTATTCTATGCTTGAAAAAAATGTATGATGGTTTTGATTCCTTGGCTTTTGCTGATTTGCAATGCCTCCCTTGCCTGTTCGTACTTCCCTAGGGCATGGCGTAGGGCCCGGGTCATTGCACTTTGCAAGCCTGGGAAGGATTCGTATGAGGTCCCCCGTTCTTACAAACCTATCAGCTTGTTGTCAAACTTGGGGAAGGTGTTGGAAAAGCTGATAAACACTCGATTAATGCGAACACTCAAACGTACTCACGTGTTAGCCCCTCACCAGTACGGCTTTCGGGCTGGTAGGGAGGTCACTGACGCATGCACCAGATTGGCCCTGGACATAGTGAGTGCTTTTAGGAGGGGCGAAATTGTTCAGGAGATCACATTGGATGTTCAATCAGCTTATGATACTGTTTGGAATGATAAGCTGGTACAGAAACTCGTGAGGATTGGGTTGGACCCATATATGGTTTACTGGCTAAGCAACTTTCTTTCTGGTCGCGTGTGTCTGCTATGCGTGGGGGAGTCTGAGTTGGAGGTCAGGTTTGAGTGCGGGCTTCCACAGGGTTCACCCCTCTTGTGACCCTGTTTTTTATTTTTATTGACGATCTTTTACAGTCCCTAGGGTGCATCCGTGCATTGCGTTCTCAGGGCTTTGCAGATGACCTTGCCCTTTGGGTGGCGGTGAGGCTCCGATCTGGATTCATAGACCTCAGGCTCAGACGGGGTCTCCGGGAGGTTGACGGCTGGGCACAGCATTGCCGCATCCGCTTTAGCCCTCAAAAGTGTATTTGTATATGCTTTCGGGGGCGGAACGTGAGAGTGAGGGGGTCTTTCACTACTCGCCTCCCTGGCGAGACCTTACCCCATGATAGGGCCGTTCGGTACCTAGGGGTGTGGTTTGATGAGGGGCTCACCTGGCACAGACATTTGACCAAGGTTATTGCACGTGCCCATGCCCGGTTGTGGCAGCTTCGGCGTATAGTCGGGTGCGAGTGGGGGCTATGCCCTGGTCTTTTCATGCGATTAGTGCGGAGCGCCATCCTCCCAGGACTATTCTTTGGCTCTCCTATCTGGGCTTTAGTGTTACGTCTGCAGGACCGGCTGAGTTCCCTCGATTCGACGTTGGCCCTCGCTGCCAGGATGGCGTTCGGCCTCGAGCGCTTCACCTCGACTGAGGCATCCCTGGTGTTGGCGGGGCTCATGCCTGCACGGCAGCAGATCCTACAACTACTTGTGACGTATATGCTGAGGAAGAGGAGGGCCATTCTCGTGGGCGACCAGCCGCTCGAGCTACACCGGAGCTATGTGACGCCGGATGAGTTGGGCTTCACGTGGTTCCAGCGTTCAGTCCGAGGCCATACTATCCCCCGGACACTGCCTGGTCGACGTCGACTCATCCGAGATGGCGTGGAGCGAGCTCTTACGACAGAGTGGGAGCGTCACTGGAGAGCATCTGAGATAGGTCGACAACTATTTGACGTCTTCCAGCATGTTGGAGGAGGAGGGTGGTACCCGGACGACGCAACTGTAGCGCGGCGGCAGGACCTCACCTTAGTAGCTCGGTTCATGACTGGACACTATCATCTAAGCCCTTGGGCACCGACACAGGACCCCGATGAGTTAGAGCTGTGCCCCCTATGTGGGGAGGTTTACTCTCGGGAGCATTTGATTCTTGAGTGTATGTCTCTGAATTTGGTCAGACGGGATGCTATGGGTCCGGTTCTGGGTCATAGTAGCAGGGGACTGGCCTGGCTGACCAGGTCTGCTTGTGGCCCTTTGGGGCGCTTTCTCCGGGTTGCGCGAGATGAGGTTTCCTGATGTCTAGAGGAGTCTGTTGAGTCGAGATAGACTTGAGGGATGGAGTGAGGGATAGGGGCTTTGCCCCATGACACATTTTTCCTTGAGTTACCTAGGTTCTCTGTCCGCTGGCTGTTGGTTCACCTGACTTTCATTCTCTGTGGGGGTTCTTTTCTTTTGGGTATGGCTTAGCGTGCAAAGCCACGGAATGTGCGCCCCTCCAGTTCGATACGCTACTCTAGGGGATGCCCCCCTCCGTCTAAGCTCAGTGCGTGAGGTTGCACGATGCCCTCGCCCCCAAGCCACCCACCCTGCAAGACCAAGTGTGTTGTCCAGTCCTCTCTACCTCACCGATTCAAGTCGCACCCACCGGTGTGCTGCGCTTGGCTGGTGTTGGTCCAAAATCTCCAAAGAATGGGGGGGCCCAACATCAGGTTGGGACCCCCATTGTGCTCTCGTGCTGCTTGGTGTGCCTCCACCATTGGCGCCCGCTGGTGCCAAAGCCCCCTGAAGTGGTTTTCAGTTGTATGTGGGCGATGCACCCACTGTGGCATCCGATGAGGCCTTGGGGGGCCTCCTCCACTGGATTGCCATCGGGCTTTGTAGGGCGTTCGTTTCTATAAATGCGCAACGTGGGCCCAAGTGGCAAGAATGGCTGGGGCAAAAGCAGCTGTGCATGCAGTGGGTGCGCGGCACTGTGCAGCTCGTGGGTGCAGCTATTGGGAGGTGCAAGGCAGGGGAACGAATGGCTACAATACAACATTGGGTGGTCACCCTTTGAGGTGGCCACCGGCACGGGCCACATGACAATGCAGCAAATATATTGTATCATATTGAGTGATAGTATCTCATCCCCAAATACGATTCAAGAGTGGCCTTACAATATAGATATTGAAATAACCATGTCTCCCAAATCCAATTGGGGTGGTTCGAAGACATATGAGCTCCAATGGAGTCTACTTTTCAATTAAAATGCTTACTGACTGAGCATTTCAAGTCCCAGATCGCATATAATAGAGAAATAACTAACACCTACAATTTACACCACAACAAGCATGTACCAAACCTCTTCATTGATTCCCTTGGCCACTAGAAATAGCTCTGCTGCTTTGGCCAACAGACTTTCCGGCTCATTCAGCTCCTGTAAGTCCATTTCAAACTATATCTTCAGGGTTTGCATCTGTTCATCCATCAGTAGCATTCGCCTGCTTTCTCTATATGCAGACCAACATCTCCACGAGAGTGATCGCCGCTCGAAGCCGTGTTGAATCCAGATATTGCCTTTCAAAGGTGTATCTGGTTTCTAGAATGCTGGTCTGTGTCTGCGATGCTGTGAAATGGCGTGGATTTCTTGCTAATAGTTACCGCAAAGGACCACAAGCCATTGAATTATGCTGCCCACAAACTGGAAGAAGCTATTTCTTTGCAGGACTGTATTGTTGCAGGAAAGTTTGAAACTGCTGACTGGCCAAAGGCGTTGAGACGATGCAGACGACGAAGGGAATGGGCACATCAAAACGTTGTTAACGCTTTGCTAATTGCTTCACTCGTTGTCGATTTGTGCCTGGCGTGAACGACTCTAGAATGTCTCAACGTGGGTGGACCATACAGGCTCGATCTGGCTGCCAGCCCTGGTGCCTTTCTGCCTTACCATTTCGCCTTGGGGTGGGAAGAAGCTTGGGGGTTCTCCAGAGAAACGATGAAGATGACAGACGATGGATGAGCGGCGATTTATTTGGAATGCATGACCTGTTTAACGCATGCAAGGGTTCTTCTGTGCGTTCTGAACGACGTCACTGGTCGCCAGCGAACAACTGTCGGTGTTCTGCTTCATCGGCGCGGAGTCCTTCTGGTGCGAGCGGCGGCCGGCTGTGATTTCCAGCACGCGCTTGGGCATTTTGCGATTCTCCATGATTACAAATATGGCGGCATGGATGAAGGCACGCCTTTAGTCGACGCTATATCCCGCGCCACGTGAGGCAGACGCCTCCCAAAAGAAAAGCACCAAGCCCAAACCACACGGGTATTATGTCCCTCCGGGTAATCCCACCTGAGCAGTATTCCCATTCCCTGCACCCGTCACGTACAGCGCTACCATTCGTAGTCTACCCCCACCTCGCACAAAGACCTGCAGCAGCGGCACTGAACAAATTTACCTCTGCCATGCGCCACTCACGGGTGCTAACAGCTCCTGAAGGGGGCACGCCAAACTCGCCTCCCCACCCGCGCGCCTGCAGTCTGCTCCCTGCCGTTTGGCAAAAAGACACAGTATTAGACAAGCTAGTACTCGACAAAGCACTGGGCTCCCTGTGTTGCCAAATTAAGCCAGCTGCGTACCTGCATATGAGGTGTTCAAATTCCCCAAAGGACACCTTGGCACTAAAGTTATTCCTGAGACCAGACTTTCAAGGTACTCTGTTACATCGCCACCCATAGCCACTCGGCTTTTCCTTCAATGGGCAGGCGCTATTGTTCATGAGAACGCGGGGCATGGCCACCCACTGAGAGTGCAGGCTAAACTACACGTGCAAGGGTGGACTGGAAAACAAATATGATTTCCTCCGAAATCGAAAACCCCTGCGAGCCCATTCCTCCTCTGGATCAAATAGCAAAATCAATCTTGTCGCCCAAACGACCATCCCATCCGCAGTTCACCTGCCAGCACCTCATTCACCCTTCCTTCTTCGCTGCTTCCCTGTTGCTCCCATACACTTGCCGCAAATGTTGAACAGCCCGACAACCAGTTCTTCAAGAGGCACTTCCCACAAAACTCCTTCTGTGGCTGCGCCTCTGCCAAAGTTCGCTTATCCAGCAAACCAGGGCCGCCATTCGCCACCTCAGGCTGCTATAAACCGTCGCCTCTCACCCTTTGCTGCAGATTGAAGGTCCCCACACATAGCAGACCGTTTCCATTGGCAACACACTCACAGCCTCCCTTGCCACTGCGAACCGCTGCCTGCTGACCCCAAGTCGGCCTGTCCTGCAGTCCAGAACAGCCGCCGGTCCTCCACATCCATAAACCCAACCTCCCCAGAGTCACGACCCGTCGCCCATCGCCCGTCGCCACAGATTCATGGTTAGGTTTAGGTATGGTAGGTTGGTTGGTTTTGCAGGGTTTGGGTCCTATCACATAAAGGGCAGCCACCGGAGCATGCCCATTACCACCCTTCACCTGCCACAGGCACTTAAGCCTCCCTGCACCCTTGAACCGTCGCCTTGTTCCTATCATTGATGGCCTCTCTGCATAACACAAGCTGTCGCTCGCCAAACACTATGCAATCAATGGTTCGAATCAAGCGATCGAACACGATTCACGCACCATCGCCTGACCTATATGACTGTGCGCCCCTCCGGCCATCAGGAACTGCCGCGCACCGCTGCCTCAGCGCCCCGCCCCAGCGTCCCAGCCGCCCAGTCGTCATGCGTCGGCACCACTGTGAAATATTGCAGAATTTCCTCGACGAATCGAGTGCGGTAGGCATTTGGACTGATGATGGTCGGCTCGCTGCCCCATCCCCCCAGTATGCCACTCGACTTTATCAGCGTCTCGAACCTCTTGTCAAGCGTGTACTCCCGCGCAAAGTTGATGATGCCCACCACGATCTCTGTGCGCTCCTTGTCCAGGCCCAGGATGAGGGAGTAGTCCATGATGCCCAGGTCGGCGAGGAACTTGGTGTCGCGGTTCAGTGCGTCTTGCAGGCAATTGAGGTTGTGTTGGTCGACGAGCAGGGGGGGCGCTTGCTTGTTGTGGTGCCGGAGGTCGTTGTCGAGAAAGATGGCCTCCTCGCCCCTGCACATGGCGGTACAGGCTGAAATCATCACAAAAATCATGCGGAAGGTGTGAAATCATCAAGTGATTAACACTGCTTGCATCGCATCATATTGCACCCTTCCACATTGCAATGTGACGTTTTGCCATTTCATATGGAGCAATAGCCAAAACGTAACGTTGCCCAGACGATGTGTAGCAGCCCCAGGCACAATGCGAAAGACTCTGGACTGCTCGTGGCAACTAGCAGTTCCAGATGGATGAGCTATTGTAGCGGGAATTCGACATTTGGGTCCATGGCAAATGAGCAGAGTCGCCATTCCTGTGACAATGATGCTGTGGCCACAATGCGGAGTCCCCACATAATGGCCTGTCGAATAAAATGCCGAGCAAAACTCATAATGCTGAATTTCAAAATGCGGAAGGGTTGAATACACTATGGTAGTGGTAGTACAGCAGAGGACGACAGAAATGGGGTTAGTTGCCACCACTTCTGTGGGACAACAGATGTGGTCCAGGGCTGCCATGATGCATTGGCATGCAAGATTTCGTGGCTGAACGATTGGCTTGCAGCAGCAGATGACATTCTTGAAATTGTCAGCATCTTGTCGAAATTGGTAGCAACTGAAGTCCGCTGCAGTGGCAGCAGTAATTGTACCAATACCTGCAGCAAAACAGTATGTGCTGAGAGTGTGCTTATACTATGGCATCCATGAACGCTGCACATGCAAGCAGATGTTTCAATTGATCGGTGAACCAGCCAACACAGGCACTTACTGACACCAACACGGCTATGATGTGGACATGACGTTGACACTGCATTGAAATAGATGCTGTTATACGAGCTAAATGTGTTACAGAAAGTATATGGCACTAGCCAAGTGCTGTTCCAAACTCACAAACAATGTTACCCATTTATGCATAACAAAGCTGAAGGTCGATTTGCGCATCTACACTTTGTGAGTATGCATCACACTGCGCACCATGAACAGCACACAGGTCAGACAGGAACAGCCGGACAGGTCACACTGGAACAGCCCCTCCCAGCAAGATCCATTTGTGACACTTTTCACCTCCTCTTCCGTATGTTGGTACAGTGGGGGTACCTATACAGTGCCCACCCATGACAAGGCCAAAACCAGGGCGCTATTGGGGGCCTGGTGCTAAAACATCAATATATTTTAATGCGTTTAGTTGTAATCTACAGATTAGCTAATCCATCAAACGAAACCCCATCAACTGTTGCGTAACAGAAGTCCTATTGGCTGTGATGGGGGCTGCTTAAATGCCAAATTGACCCATGGCATGGGCGTAACCTGTGCCACAATGCTACAATTCCGGAGCACTGTGTTGAAGTCTTGCATTGGAGTATCACAATCAATTTCTTGTGCGTAGGCAAAATCTTTGAAAAAATACGACGAAGCGAATGTAGCAAACCAATCTATACCTCCAACACAGTGTTTGCCACAGTCCCTTACGTCGAATTACATATTGACTTGCAGTGCATTGCCCACATCATGAACGCTGTGTGGCATTATTCTTGTTGAATAGAAGGACTAATCAGGTGACCACTTGGTGGGCACCTAGGGCACCGACTTTATTCTTACATATTTTCACTGTTGGGTTCCAATTCTTATCCCAAGGCAGTGTTTGACTGAGTGTTTCGAGATCCCAAAACATGTAATGAATCTCGTGGTGCTGCAAACTTGAAATGTCACTGCACACTGTATGACAGGAATGGTTGTGTGTTACTATTGGTGATCTGATCATAACCAAAAACGCCTCATACAAATTTTATATGTGTTCTCCTATTCTGTGCACGGCCAACGAACGTTGCAAGTCCACTAGACATCTCTTCTGTGTGCGTTTGAATGTCCAATACACTGGTTTGAGGTCCCACTGCACGTAAGAGCTGCATAATGTATTACAGAAATGGTGCTTAGCCAAAAAACGGGGCGCTATTGAAGGGCCGCTATATAGTACCCCCACTGTACAAGGTTTTGCAGAGGGGTATAGTATAAATCGCTGGCAAAACTCCCCATTTCACCCAGGTACTGATCGCTTTTGAACATGCTTATCTGATGCTGCCCAGTTGTTGAAATCGCACAGAAACAACACCGCATTCCATTGTCTCACCCATGTTTTGGGGCCACCCTTGTCACCAACGGCAGTGGCATTACCTGGCATAGCGCCTCTCAGCATCAGGGTTGATCCGCCCTCGCTTCGAGCCTTTGAGATTGTACTTGCGTATGCAGGTGCGGTCATAGAATACGTTCTCCATGATGATCACCGTGTGCTCCCAATCTTGGATCCGTGACTTCAGGGACACCTGCAAATACAACAACAAATGCTAGTGCATCCAAACTAACCTGCGCTAATCCATGCAGGTTCTACTGCATATTATTCTTCAATGCCAATCAGGCTTCATCATCCCATCAGTCCATTTGTTTGGATCCATATCATAATTTACTATGCTTCCAAACTTATATACTGTATATTCCATTTTCTACATTGTTGCCTTGCTTCAATTGAATCTATTGTTCTACAATCCCCCTGTTCGTTACATGCCACCTGATGGGTGCACAACTTTAGATCAAGGCTGTAGGCTGCACCCTGCAGCATGCCGCACCAGCTATCCTTTGCACTTTTCCAGCGGTCAGCATTGTGGGTGGGTCCCTGATGCATATGGAAATGGCCTCGTTGTCCCCCAAGTATCAGATAACAATAAATTTTCAAACAATGATATCCTCTGGCAACGCCAGTCGACGGTCTCCCTGGCATGTCGATTGTATGGGTTGACACCAAGATAGGACACCTTTCCTTCTGCTTGCCCAAATTATTCAGATTTGACGGACGGCTGTTCGCAAAGGCAGTGTTGTAGATTGCATCTCCCACTGCCATGGGAGAGTCAGTGCTGCTCACATGTAGTTCGGTAGGTAGCTTGATAGGAAGCAATGAATCAACTCCCTGCCAAAGTGGTAAACCAAAGCAACAGGGCTGGTCACGTTGGGCATCCCACTGACCTAGCCCGGTGTTTGAGAAAGTGAGGGGATGCCTAGGTGGGGGGCCAAGGGTCAGCATGTCTTCCATTTCCTTGACTATCTTTCCTTATATTCTGTGGCTGGTATGGTCTTGAGTTTTCTTGGGTTTTGAGCTCTCCTTTTCATGCGATGCAAGTGGGTGGCGTGCGGGATGAGGATGTGTTGATTTTTAACAAATGGTGCTTCGACAGTCCTGTGTCTGTCGTCACTTGAAATGTGCAAGGGATTTGTCCGTCATGTGCTTTTCGTGCCTGATTGCCAATCCACGGAATCCGGCCATGTACACAACCTTATGTACAATGTGACATATGCATCATCAGCTATGCTCATCAAATCGTTCTACTATGCATCAAAACATATAACAATAGACAACAGGACATGGCCAAGACCAGCAAAGCGAACAGACATCATCTATAGCAAAGTATAACAGCCATAAGTATCCACCTTTCCAAGGAAATCAACCAACCTGAAACATGCCCAGTATCTTGGCAAGACAAATATCCCGGCCGGCATCAATGGCATCGTCGATGTATTTCAGGTAGTTTGGTGCCAGGTGCCTGAGGAACGAGTCCCGCTCTGTGGCAGAGATGCTCTTGATGACATAACGCTCATCCAAGGTGCGGCCAAAGTAGGCCTTGGACTTGCCTCCCTGTGCCCTCCACCTGCATATCCACATGCAACGATGAACAGAATTTGATGGTATGCTATTAGTATGGTAATGTTATCAATCACAAAAGCATCCATGGCTTGCCTAACCAGCGCACACTCGGGTGCGACTCAAATCCCCATAGCCCCCAGATTAGCATCCTTCTTCAACAACACTACACCCACCTGCACCAACTCCCCAATAAGAGCAGGAAAAAACTACCAAGATGAGAACAGAGCAGCAGTACAATAACTCCTTTATCCATGCTGAATGATAGTTATCAGAGGTGTCAAGAAAAACACACCAGCGCATCTTGTTTTTCCCTTGGAATTCACCGCAAGAGTTGCAAATTCACTGTCCACAAACAATGTGATCAAATGGCTGCAAAGGAAGCAACACAAACCACAGGAAAGAACAGGACAGAGAGCAAGAGCCATAACCCCACCCCAACTGCACTTAACGCTCTTCCACAACGGCAAACCATGCTGCAGACCAAGCTCCTCTCATAAACACAGTGGGTGTGCTAACACCAACTGTGGCACACTGTCAACACCCACACAGAAATGTGTGCCAATACGAAGACGCAATCCAATGAGGTCTTCAATGGCAAACGCCTCCGAACTTACATTTTGCATCTTGACAGGCTCACGATGAACGACGTCTCCCCGCCCTGGACGCACCTGCTCCGCAGCTGGGCGAACTGCGGGGCGAAGTACGCCATCACGTCGAACCTGGCCTTGCTGAGCGGCAGCGTCTCCAGCTCGTCGTCCTCGAAGCTCTGCTCGATGTGCGCCGGGGACCAGTACACGGCGTCGCTGAACAGCACCCTTGGGGCCGCTTGGGGCCCGCTGGCCCAGCACCCGGCCCATTGGGGACAGTCCACTGGAGGTTTTTCGCCCCAGCCGCCGCGACGCTCGTCAGGGGGGGACTCCGCCCGTTGCCCCGCCGGGCACTGCAGGGCCTGCAGGTCCACGACATGCTGCTGCAGCTTTTTCCTAAACGAGTTGGACGCCAGCACGTGGGCGATGATGGAGCCCGGCTCGTCATCAAAGACTGGGATCACGAATTCGTCGCCCCTGGAGGTGGACTGGCCGTCGCTGATCAGCGACCGGCCGTTGGGGAACACCTGGCTCACGCTGAGGGGCACCATGCCGGGCTCGGACGACTTGTGCGCCCTGGGCCTGGACAGGAGGGGTGCCGAGTTGTTGAGCTTGACCTCCAGGGCTTGGAGCTTCCTCGGCGAATCTAGCACGGGTTCTGACGCTCCGTTCGGATCGCCATCCACGCCGATGGCCAAGCCCGAGGACGGACATCCGAATACCAGCCGGCGGTTGAGCTGGTGCACGAGCGGCTCCTCCCGCGGGAAGAAAGGATCGGCGGCCCCACTTCTAATGTGCCTCGGTCCTTGGTCGATCCCCACGCCGTCCGGCGAGAAGGGCCGGATCAGGAAGGACGCCTCCGCGAAGTGGGACTGCAGCGGCACCCAGCCGCCCTCATCCTCCTCGCTCTCCTGGCTGCCGGCCGGCTGGTCGTTGCTGCTCTCTAAGCGGCCGTCGGCGCTGCCCGGCCTGTGCGACGCCGCCAGGCGCTCTCCTTCCGGCGTAGAAGCCCGCACCGACTTCTCCCCACCGCTGCTCCCAGTCTCGATCGCCTCTAGGCCTCCATCTTCGACGGTGAGCGGGTGCTGCGTGGGGTTGGACAGGAACTTGGCCCAGGCCAGGATGTTGACGGCGAGGTCCTTGCGCAGGCCGTTGAGCTCCAGGGCGCAGTCGAGCAGCACCTCCCCGAAGTTCACCAAGCTAGAGCGCTCGTCCACGCCGCCTGCGCCAACATCAGGTCCAACTCAGACAAGATCCAGCAGTCCAACAGCTCCAAACAGATCATGTCCATCGTCAACCAGAGCAGATCCAACAGATCCAATCAGCCCCATCATTGAATACATCTTCAACGAAAAATGGGGTTTGAAACCTTTGAAACGAAATAACTTTTAAAACTAAAAGATTAGAGACAAACTCCAAATCCTGGAACAAAAATAAACGACAAGGAAGTCTAACCCAACACACAGTATGCAACGTCCAACCACAGCTGCTCACCCTTCCTGGCATGCCGTATGACCCTCGTCAGCTTCTCTGTGAATTCTGAGTGCTCCTGATGGACGTCCTTCACAATGGCATTGGGCACATAGCTCTCACGTGATGCCTGCCCATCGCCCGCCTGCTCCTGCGACACCTGCAGGGCCTTCTCTACTGCAGTGTAGGCCTCGTTTGCTTCCTTGCACAGCCACAAGCTGATCATTGTGTTCTTGCCTTTGCCAGGGGCGGCTCGAGGGCACCAACCAGCTGAAGTGCAAAATGTATTCCAGAACAGTGGGCACTTTCGATCCATGACTTGGGACTCAGGTTTGAAATACTGGACACGTTTACAGTTGAGGCTATTGAAATGGGTGGAGACATGATGCAAATGCTCACCTGCATGAGCTCATTGCCACATTCAATTATCCACAACAGCTGGTTGTCATTGTTGTAGCACAGGTTCCATGGAGGGATGTGCAGCTCGTACGGCTGGAATCGATCCTGATACACGCACACCACTGTCCGGCCGTACCCAAAGTACCGCACAAATTCCAGGTGCAGCTGCCGGTTGAAGACCTGCAGAAAGTTGGAGTTGCACGACAGGTCCAGGAACGCCCCGAACGACAGCCGCATCGCGTCAGGGGACAGAGGAACGCGCCGGACTGAGGTCAGGGGCTGCCTGCTGAGGCCCTTGGGTCGGGCCCAGAACCAAACTTGTCCCGAATTCTGGAGCGCCTCGTGGGGGGGCAAGGACACAACTGACAGGGTGATGCGCATACCGCCATGCAGGAAGGTGCGCACATGGGAGGAGTTGCCACCCCAACAGCCCTGGCATTGTGACAAAGGCTTGTCGTCACCCACACAGCGCACAATGCAGAATTTGGAGCAGCACAAGGACAGCAGAATTTTTGGCTGCAATGGAAGCGATGAAAGAACTGCTGCTGCGCATTCCAAGCAATAACAGAACCTACATTGCCACCATACTCATTGGTGTTGTGCCTGCCATTTCCAAGAAATTACAGCCATAGGGGGCACAGAAAGGGGCAGCAGGAAGACAAATGACAAAAACATGCAGAGCCACGTGACTTGACCCACATGTGGACAGTGCTTCTCTGAGTCAGCTGCGATGGACATTAGGAATCTGGAGAGCGGCCAGTCTGTGTCACTGTCATAGAAGTCGATGCTGTGCAGGTGGTGGGGCTCACACATCAGCCCCCGGCGATGATTCCTGCATACAGCGCAAGGCACACCAAGTTGGCCAAGGAACATCCAATTCACCACAGAGACCTTGCCACCGGTATTCATGATTGCTCATCGTACAATCCTTAGATTTTATGCGGCCTTGCAAGTGACGATGGACACAACATCCAACCAAGTGTTTGAGCTCCACTCAAAGACTGTTCCAACACCAGCTGCTTCTTGCAGCAAGCTTTTCTTTGGATAGAAAAGTGTGTCTTGTTCATCTTGGCAATCACTGCGGCATCTTGGTCACGTCAAGTGCGATTTGACTTTTGCGGTTTCATGCAGCTAAATGGAGCATCAACAAATGAAGGTGTTGCCAATGCCCGATGCCCACAGATCCCGAATAAGGTTGACAACCACAACAGGGTCACCTGACCCTTGATTGGGGCCAAAACATTGACTTCCACAAAATCACACATGCAATGCAGGGAATACCATTTCAAACTCAACTCCAAACACTGAAGCAAATCCAATTCAAACTGTGCGTTGCCTGTTACATCATGGTTGCAACGATTCACACAACTCCAGCTCATCTCACCTGATGGCGATTGAAGAAGTAAATCTCAGGGATTCCTCCATCACATGCAGCACCTTACTCCGCACCCTCCCACTCGCCGACGCCTCCCCAGAATCACCCACCTGCTCACACATCCACATTACTTGCCCATCGCCCATCGCCATCCCATCAGCATTGGCGCCCTCTGCCAAAGGCCTGCACTCAGGGCTTTTCGCCTCTCCCTGACCTCCACCCTGCAATGCCCTCTGGGACCCAGTTGACAAGCTGGGCTTGCTCATCCGCATGCTCCTCTTTGGCCTCCATTCACCACCTTGTTCACTCTTTTCAGCTGCCTTGCTTCTCTTCTCCTCTGTCATGTTGCTCCTCTCATCACAAACAGAGTCACTTTTATCACCCCATGGGTTTGCTGAATCTTCATCCCACCCAGTTGCATCCTGGCCCTCCGCCACTGTGTGCTTGTGACCCACGAACACTGGCGTGACATAGTCTTTCGATTGGGAGATGTGGTGCCGCGCCTCTGAGGCCCACCAACCGGATACGTGTGGCGACAGGGAATGGATGGGTCTGCGGGAGCGCCATTTTGCAACGCCTCGCACAGACTTGCACACAAGCTCATGCCCGATGCCCCGCCACAGATCCAGGCCAGCATCGACAGGGAAACCTGGAATTCATCAATTGTTTGTCTCATGTTTGCAGCATTGCTATCGGGTTTGTTTGTATTGTGCAACGGTGCACAGAGGGCAAAGCAAGGTTGCAATGTCACGGCAGGTTATCCACGGATATACAGTGATTCTGTCCACTCTGGCCACACATTCGTACATAGTTTCACATCATATCATCATACCATATAGAACATCTGAGCATATCATCACACTATGACCACGTCTGACTCCGCTGAATACATTGTTTGATTCTGCTCTATTTCACCAGACATCATTGACAATTGTTTAGTTTGTGCTGATTTCGCGTCAAATCCATTGTTTGATTTTGCTCTATTTCACCGGACATCATTGACAACTGTTCAGTTTGTGCTGATTTCGTGTCAAATCCATGGCCAGCCCCACGTCGCCCTTGGTTGAGGCCAACTGGGAGTGCTCTGCCAGCAGAATAGGTATGAAGATTATGAAACTGAAAGAAAATGCAAAGCAGTAAGCAGCATCATGTATGATTTAGACATATCCAAAACTTTGCTTCAAAATAAACTTCTCTCAATGTCAGTCTCCACATCAAATGTATCCGTGGGAAGGCCACCAGCACATGAAAACCCTGGTGCACTGCCCTACAAAACTTTGATATTGTTCCCTCTTCGTGTATATTTAACTCCATACCCAATACTATTGAATCTGGTACCAAACTGCCGCCATACCAAATAAAATTGAAATTAGGGAAAACGACGAAAGGGGGCCCTCTGTGAGATATCTTGGCAAAAGGGGGTCCTCTGTGACAAAGTAGTCGTAGCGATCGGAGCTGCAGGGAAGACCAAGCGGCAATCGAGGCTGCGGGGAGACCAAGCGGCTACCAGAGCTGCGGGGAGAGTAAAGGGGGATCGGAGGTACTTAAGAGATCAAGTGGCGATAGGAGCTCCGGGAGGGAGTCGCAGAGGTCGGAACTGCAAGAGAGAGCACGCTGCAATGGCAAGCACAGCCATGGCAAAGCAAAGCAAGGTGTGAAGGCTCAGGTAAACGGTAAAGGCCAAGAATGATTTGGTGACTGGTCCTATGGCTGAGGATCCTCTTGCCATGGCAGAGACTTGCTCGGCGATCAGTAGCACACTCGCAGCAAAGAAAAGCACAGGCGTGCAGGTGAATAGTGTGATTGTGAGTGTGAACCGAGTTGCGTGGGATAGCTATGCAGGATCTGGGGATGGCTTTTGACAATCTATTAGAGCGTTTGTGGCACATGTTTCCTTGTTCGCTGGCATTGCCGTCATTTTATGTGCTCCTAATGCAGCGGCAGTCCACAAACCGCTTCCAGTGACCAACAAACTGTGGCAAACCATGTGATAGTGACTGCGAATCGAGTTGTGTGGGATGGTTATGGTGGATCCGGGGATGGCCGTTAACGATCTGTGAAAATGTTTGTGGCATCCGTACTACTGCTTGCTGGCAATGCCTTCATTTTATGTGCTTTTATTGCGGTGGCAGTCCACAGGTCACCTCCGGTAAGCAAAAAACTGTGGCAGACCATGTGATTGTGAGTGCGAACCGAGTTGTGTGGGACGGTTATGTGGGATCTGGGGATGGCTGCTGATGATCTGCGAGATGTTTGTGGCATCCATACTGATGTTGGTTTTCACAACTGATTTATGAAAAATCACAATCCGAACAATGGGCAAGCTGCCATTTTTGGACTTGTGAGGCCCTACCAAGTCCGATCTTGCCAACGAAAAAGTACACCACTTGCACCTCATTGCATTACAATAGTCACCAACATCCTTCAATTTGTCATCGAATGGCAGCCTGCGACCAGCCCTGCGACCAACACTGGGCTTGCGCTTGGTTTGGCTTTTAGGAGTTAGGATTTATGCGCCCTTGTGGCAGCAACGATTCAATGATTAATTGGTATTGGTTCAGCATTTTTTGGTACACCCTTCAACAGTTTTGGTACTGGCACGAATTTGGTTCCAGATTCAATCTGCGTTGGTTCCAGTTTCAATTTTATTTGGTACGTCGGCAGTTTGGTACCAGGCTCAATATTGATTGGTGGTAGTTTCAATTCTATTTGGTACGGTGGCAGTAGGGTACCAGATTCAATATCGTCTGGTAGCGAGTTAAATAGGTTGCCTTCTTCTTTCCCATGTCATTTCTGTGTCGTGTTTTCCTTTCTCTGACATTCAAATTACAATGTTCAATTTCTATGGAAGCACTTTGCTCCTGCCGTATCTTCCCAGATTCCTACCTTCTGCAACAGCAGCCATCGCTGAGCTTGCAACTGACAGCTCATCAGCAAGGAAGGCCAACTCAAGGCGCATGTGGTATGCCACAATGATGGATTGTTTCACCACCTGTGACAGCTTGTTCAGCTGCTCCATCGTATCGCCATACAGCACAGCCGTGCACACCAACGACACCTGACAGATTTGCAACAATGCACAAAGAATGATATCAAAGGATGGACAACACTGATGGCAGTTGGTGAAACAGAAACAACGTCAACTGTTTTCACTCGAGGTTGTGAGCAGGACATTCACATTGACGAGTTTGGGAGATGCGAATATTCCAGTCCTTGTAATGATGTTCAGGAGCATCCTTGCCAAACAATTTGTCTTCTATTGGCATGGTATGACACGTGAACTCTTGCAGGTGGTCTACGTTCTGGAAAAGAGTCACCCCACTTGCAAAAGAAAGCTCACTGCACACAGGTGTTCTTCACCTCTCATTCCATAGGAGACACTGCTTGAGGCTACCTCTGGCATGAAATTGTGAGGAGCAGTACACATTGTCAAGTGGACTGTGAACTGCAGATTATACACCACAAGAAGAGAAGAAAGACAAAAACAACACTATTACGCACGCACGCACGCATGCATGCACGCACGCATGCATGCACGCACGCACACTTGCTTTTCATTGTCTTGACAACGCCAGTTTCTTGTCAATTTCTGACAAATCTGAAACAAAGTTGTTCCACGCATACTTCCTCTATCCCAAACTAAACTTCCTCCATGACTTTGTCATGCTGCTTCTCCATTGTAGGAACTTCAGTTTGCAGCGGAATTTCATCAAAACTTATCGCCATGAGTTTGGAGTACACAGTACAAACATCAAGTCTACATAATAAATACTGTGGGTTGGGAATCACCTTGTAGCAAACGTCCTCAGGCAAACACAGCTCAAATTTTAAACGTTTCTGTGAGAATCATTGTCATAGCAGTGGCGAGGGGTAAACGTTGTTGTTGCAATGTGACACAGCCGGTTCTGCAGAACTCGTCCATGCTAGCACAGTGAATGTACATATTTTGAAAATGCTCAGGTCTACTTGGGAATGCTCAGCAGGAGGTGTTGGAGGTGTTTCTTACCCACAGTCCCTTTCTTAGAACTCAGGATACTTAATGATCACTTTCAACACATGAAATCGGAATACTTATGTGAGCAAGCCCGAATCAGCATCATTTTGGGCGCACCTGGCAGCCTTTGAAGATCATGAGGGGGGGAAGGACGGTCCGTTTCATGCGGCCCTCCACTGCAGTGGGCTTCTGTATCACTTCCATCAAAACAAACTCCTCGCAGCGCCCCAAGCTGCTCTGCTTCACCTCAGAGATGGATCTCAGGTTTACAACCTGTTGGACGGAACAGTGTTGGACGACTTGCTCAACTACATCTGGCACAAGGTGGCAAAACAGCAAAGTTGCACCGACGATGACAGACGTAATTCTATTGTCGATGGTGAGCTTCAGCATTGCAAAGGCAAGTCTTGAACCATATGGGGTGGACATTGTGATCAAGCCAGACTTCCCATGAGGTTGCAGATTTGTGCTCTGCCTGAAACGGTCACTGGCAGCACAGCAGTTCCCGTGCAAGAGCCCAATTGTTGCTTGACATTGAGCATCCAGGGCGGTGGTTCCCTCTTCTTATTTCCCTGTTTGTGCACCCAAGGGGGTGCATTCAACTGTGGATTCCCATCTTTCCTTTTGATGTCAGAAGCAGCGTGTTAGAAAGATGCCTTTATGGGTCGGCATGGGACCTGCAATCGAAGGAACGCACCTCTGCCCCTGTACATTGTGCCAGCATTTCCAGCTGGGGCAGTTGCACATTGTATACAAGTGTGATGCCCTCCTCGTCGATCTTCTTGATGGCAGCCCTTGCCACATTCTTCTCCACAAGCACCACATTTGGCCGACAAGAGACAATCTTACTTGCCACAGCATCCAGGTACTCCTTACCCTGTGCAGACAGCTCAGCCTCATCACTCCCATGGTTGTGCTGCAGGAGGCGCACATATACTGGCTGGACTGACCTCATACTCTATATTCCGCACGAAGCAACACCAAGTAGGTGTCACATAACCAGATCATGAGGTCGTCGAACAGAACAATATGGGGCATAGGAATGTTTGGACATGCAGCTTCTGCCAACCCAAAAACACCCACGTTTGAAGTCAGATACCCATCGTCCGGGGATGAGAACTACGATCGAAAGGTCTACATTTTGTATAGATCAATCAAGCAAAAATGCACCAACACCATGTTCCCACCCACTGACCCTAGCCGCTGCCCAGCAACCACACAGACACAGAACCGTGGCCTATGACCCAAAACTAAAGGCGCTGCATGGCAACCTTGGGTTTTGTTCTTGTTTCCAGGTTCTTGGTTCCCAACTGGGGCACAAACGGCTGGAAGGGAACAAGAATGCTGGTTGATGGTAGACTGCACACATCGTAACTGAGGTGCAACAACTTTGCATTCTCCTATGTGACAAACACAATCTGAGAACTTGGCAACAATCACTGGTAGTGATTGACATGATTACCCTGTTTGCTGAAGTACTGTGCAGTTACGAAGCAAACAGAAAAACACACATATGCATTTTTCACCACCGATGGAGAAGCTCTGCACAAGTTTGTGTTTGTGCTCTGCTTCCATCACTTTATCATATCATTCCATGTTATGACCAGCTGCACATGTCACTTGCTGCCTAGAATCGCCCAGTTTGGACTACAAAGTTCTGCACGCTCTGTCAGTTGTCATTCACGACCAGTTGCGCCAAGCTGAACTGACCAATAGCACAAAGTTCGGTTGTCACATTTCGTTTCGTACCCTGCTGAGATATGCTGATTTGAGCTGCAACCTTGTTGTTGCTGACGTTTCAAACTCTAGTGGCCCTGACAACAGCAGCAGCCGCGGATTGGACAACTTGGACTGCATCCGGCAGCTCGCCCTGTTCTTCCGCAGCACCACGCCATGGATGACGTGGCTCTCCTTGGGCTCACTCATGCCAGGCACGCACTCCACCTAATAGGCACAAGAAAGCCATGAATCTGCTGCAAGTAGTGCGGCCCCATGCAACAATAGGCTGCACTTGCACCTATCAAGTGCTTCTGTGGCCCGTTCATACCCACAGGTGTTTCTTCAGGGGATGATGAGTGCCTATTGTGGGCATTGCTGGTCTTCCAACAGCACAATATAGAGACGGATACTTTCCAGCAGTGACAGCTTGCAAAACATGAAAAAGAACAACGCCAGCAACAACGACCAACCAAACAAGCAATTTCCATTCGGAAAAGAATGCCAATTTTTTCCCCTGTCCCTTCCATGAGGGCCAAGCACTTGTTCCATAAGGACCACTTGTTCTGCTTGGTGCATTTATTTTATGTGAGCAATCTTTTCGGCCCTGATCTTGCTTGTGTGGTCGTACATGCCCTCAGCCCTTCAGCTAGGACATGTCCTGGCATCTGGCCTCCAAAAAATGATGAAAATTTTTGGAACAACGCGAACAACAGCAGCCACCGAAATTCCAAAGCATCCTTCAGCCCCGAGGCGCCACCACAAGCCAGGCTAATAACGATGAGGGATGGTGCCCCACCAGACACGGCACAGAGCCACGTGGAAAGATTCTTTGAAACATATCCTACTGCAGACACCCACACCTAGGTCAACACCATTGGTGAGTCTATTCCATTTTATGCAGGTTGACAGAGAAATCTTCAAGTGCAGACAACGCATATGGGCAACATGGAAACAGGGGTACAAAATGCTTTGACAACAAAGCAGTCACATCTGGCCACCTTGACATATTCTCTTAGATCTCCTATCCACGTCGTGCGGGCTGCCGACAAATCTAGGCACTTCGCTGCGCTCCGTGCAATGTCCAATACCACTGGCAGCCACTGATCCCTAGCTTCCTCACCCAGTCCACACAGCAGCTGCTTCACAAACTTGACAAAATGGTCATGGGCGGCACAGGACAGTGCCATCCTGACAGAAGACAAACACACACAGAGATGATTGAGCACAGAGTGAAATCTTCCTTGCTTTCTGTGTCTGTTTCTTTGCTTCATTTTTCAATCCCACAAAGCTGAAAGTGGAGGTCTGTTTATTGTTGTTGTTGCTTCTAAATTCCAGATTCTTGTGGTGGGGTTGTTGGTGGACGTTATTCCTCAGCCGTTCCAGAGCTGCCATCGCTCTTTTACTGAGCTATCCCTGGTTTTCCTTTCCTTCCTTACCCTCTCTTTTGTTTCCTTCTTGCCATTTTACCCTGTCAAGGATCGTTGCTGCCACCTCCATTCAAACATGAAAAAACACAAAGTGGTGTTGTGTCCCCGTGAGAAATGATACCCAGATGTTCACCCACGATTCCCCAGGATAGCATTCACTTGCTGTTCTGCCCAATGGCAGTGTGCTACTCACAACAATGGGTGATTTCTGAAATGCCTTGCCTCAGTTAAGTGACAAACACAGACACTTTCTACAGAGGGCTTGCCCATAGATGGGCATCTGCTTCCACCTCTAACATTCCCTGCTGGGTTCTGGCCGGCAACCTGTGTTGCTGTTTGAGAGCTTTGGCATGCCATCACATGGAGATCATCATACTTTTTCTATTTCTGTGTGACTCTGGTGACAAACAATGGTCCCATTCAGGCGTTCATGCTCTGAGCTCACATAATGGTTTGCTTGCATGAGGCAAAAATGCCAGCTTTTTTGGTGCTGATTATCCATGCGATCCGACTATCAACAACAGCTGCAACAGAAATCCTTGTTGTTCCGTTATTTGCTGTTTTCTTGTTCCAGCATTCCTGCCAAAATTCTGGCTGACAATTGGACTATGCCAACAGGGAAGGAATTGGGGAGGGAGTTGCGCACTTGGGCTGTGCTGGTCACTCATCAGCACTACGATCTATTGCTGAAGCTGACCAACGACCCTGACACAACATGCCCTTAAAGGTGCACGAGCGCTGCTGTGTCAAGTTGTTATTATCACAGTACTAATAATGGTTATTCTGAACGGCCCATGCACTGAATCGGCACTTCTCAACCCTGTTCCCTATGTCGTCATGTCTACCACAGCACCCTGTACTTCAGTGAGCACCACTCACCTCAGTTCATTCCCCCCATTGCCTTATTTACGTTAAAGGATACTTGTGGAGCGCATGGACACAAAACAAAAGTAGTCCGATCTCTAAATTACACCCAAGTCACTGCTGAGAGAAAAGTGCTGGTCAAGCAGGTGCAGCAAAATCACCCTGAGATGAATTGTGATTCAGGGCCTCATTTGCACCATTCTAAGTGTGTGCCTCTACTATGTCAGTGTGCCTGAGCTTGTTGTAGGATTGCGGTGGACCATGGTCTGGTTCAGCTGGCACTCCACGGCTTTGGGGCAGGATTTTTGTCCAGGGAACTGGGTCCAGCTTTGGTCCAGGGTTGTTTGGTTTCAGCTTCACTTCCTGAGTTCAGAACTGCAGTTAGATCCTAGAAATTAGATATCTGTACTTAGGAATCCAGCCACAGGATGCGATCATGCCCCCCTTGCCAATTGGGTATCCAAACAGGCCCCTCAACAGCAAACTGCCACAGCTCACCTGCAACCCTTGTATGCATGACTAAAATCTACGGGCCTTGCTTTGATCACTTCCTCAGGCGTCACAACACCAAACTCTACGGATTGGCTTGTCTTGGAAATTATGATTCCGTCTTCTTCAACTGGAGGAGGCACATGCCAACTCAACGCGCCATCCGATGCTAGTGCCGCTGAAAACACCCCCTTCTGCACATGCGAACCACACAAAGCCGTTCAATCAGCAATGATCGCTGAATTCCCTAGCTGGGCAAAATGACAACAAATTCTTCCATTCTCCACAGAGCATCAAGGATAGTATGAGCTGTGGTGCTGCCTGCCTGGCAGCCTGATCAATGTTCGTCCGATAAACCTCCCAGTACAAATGGAGGACAGAGCTCCCCTTCTCACAATGAAGCAGGATGCCCTCTGTCAGGGGACTGTGTATGGCAAGGAATGCTGCCAAGTGGTGAAGCCAGCAGGCCATCGCCTCCTGGGACTAAGGGCTGTGTTTGTCATTTTGTTAGGCAACCATTGTCCACAGCAATAACAACTGTGCCAGGTCACAAATGTGCTTGGTGCTCTTTTTCATTGTGCTCTTTTTCAAGTTGATTGGGAATCTTCAACATCTTCCCACAGCACATCAATGGGTAATGTCAGTGCCAGTGAGGGTAGAAAGGGACACGCTCTTTTCGAAACTTCAGGAATTTGATGATTACAAGTGCGCAACATCATCTGACAACTGCAAAGAGTTACCAAACATCAAGTTCCCTGGACGAATGGCTCTTGAACGTCACTCAAGAATGGGAAGAATCTCTATAACCAGATATCACATGGGCCCATGCTGCAAACAGTTGCTCTCTTTGCCATCTCACCAGTGTAATGGACAGAGCCTCAAGAGAACTGCACACCATCTCCATAGAGGGTCTTCGCCCCGGTTCCGATGAGCAGCACATTTCCATCATCTCTAGGAACCCATTTGGCCACTCCCCTCTGGCATCTTTAGGGACCATGCATGGATCCAACCCCTTCAGCTTCAAGTCCACTATTTGTGCTTCCATTGCTTCATGTCCATAAGGCAACCCCTGCATCATGATCTCATACATGATCATGCCAAAGCTGAATACGTCAGAGGCCCTGCTGGGCACACTGCCTTCGCACAGCTCCTTGGCGATCCAATGCCCAGTCCAAGAGGGCCCTTCACCACGTTCCCAGGGCTCTGTCAGCTTCAGCTGAGCAATCTTCACAACAACATCACTTCCGCTCTTTTTAAACACTAGGAATTTGCTGCTTTTCAGGTCTCCATATATGATGCCCAGGCGATGGACAGCACGCACTGCTTTTGCTGCCTGGAGCAATACCCTGACTTTCGTGGCCACATCATTTCCTTTGCCAGACGTTCTTGGCTGGGCTGCACACCAGTGGCTGATGTTGCTGTCAGCCAGCTCCATCAGCACAGCACCTGATCTTGTGACTCCAAGTGACCTCACCACATGCTCGGGATCCAAGATCGTGCGACTCAGCGTCCATGTGTAGAACTTCAAATAGCCTTCAAGATCCATCCCATTCTGGCTTTCTGGAATCACCTGTTGGACTGCCACTGGAGTCTCCCTCCAAACAGCAAGATGCACATCTTCAGCAATAACATTCTGCCACTTGACATCCTCATCGGCGATCGCATCAAGCTTCTGTCTCTTCTCAGAGCAACATTGCCTCACCGTTTCCCATTCTCGTCTATGAGTCGTGGCCAAGGCCTCAAGGCTCCAGGGGTTGCCTGCAAACACATAGCCCAAGCATTGTTGCATGATCTCTCTGTCACGCTGCACAAGCTTGGCAGGGACTGCAGCATGGAGGTGCTCAGTATCATGGAACCCCCACTTGGACGCAAACGAGGAGATGTTGCCCAATATCCGTTCAACTGCCAATTGGGTGTCTGTGGTCTTGTGCAGATTGTTGATGTCAATGAAAGTGTGCTGCTTCAGCAGAGAGAGGGCAAACTTTAGATTGTGCAACACAACTGCAGCATCGTCCTTCCAGTTCGGCATTGCCAGCTGATTTGGTAATCTTAGTGAACACCGTGCCAGTCGCCCTATCTCGGTTTGCAGAAAGTTCATCAGCTGGCAGTTGTACTTCATTTCGACAACCCTGGAAATCTCACTGATGACCTGGTGCACCTTGCCCTCCAGTTCTGAAACCTATTCAGCATTCGATCATAAAAGTCACCTGATCGCCACAATCGCATCAGCAATTCTACAGTTGCTGGGAAACTAAACAGCACACACAGGATCATGTTGTGTACAGATCGACAAGACTGATTGTGTGGGGGCCATGATGTGATACACAGGTGTGTGTGCCCAACGTCAAGACTGAAAAGATCGTTTGCAAAATCAAGCACTGAGTGGACAGTCAGCTTCAAGAACAGAATACATCACCAGAGGAACAAAAACCAGTAGCACAGCACAGCAACAGCTTCACAATCGTACTAACCATAGAATGAGGCACACACTGAAGACAAGGCAGACACTTAGGGCAAGAATCAGAACCACAGCTGAGCCATGCTTCAAAATCTGTGCGTACCTGGTCATCGGCAATGTAGCACTCACTGTGCAATCCCAGCTCTAACCTGGGTTGTTGCAAAAGGAGCTCCAGATCTGCTTGAAATAACAGTGCACTGTCCTCATGGATCTGCTGTTTAAACAGCTCTGCAGAACGTGAATCAGGGAATTCAATCTGTTCACACACAACGTACATTTGTCAAAGTGGCACATGATGGCAAGTTCAGCAAACAGCAACATCACTGCTTCATGGCTGATGAATTGGGCAGCAGAACCAAGCTTCAAAATACACATTATTTCTGCAGCCATGCTGGCTTGAGTGGTGGACACATATACACACAGTTTTTTGGTTGCCAAGTAATGTTCAAAGTATGCAGTAGGCACAATACACATCAACACCATACCCAAGCAGGCACTGCCACCAGTCACACGAAGGCCTGTGTGGCAGCCCAACTAAGATGCTAACACTTGCTGTGATGGAAGACTGCAGCGATCATCTTAGGAGCTTGACCGGGTCACGTGCAGCAGACAGGCGTATCCTTGTTGTGGTTGCAATTGAGACGTGGAGCCCGCCACATGGCCGGGCGCTTACAGTCCGTTTCTGCCCCAACCAGGACACCAGTCCAGGCATGGGTGGTAAACTGGGGTTGTTGAATGTGACACTTCCCCATGACCTCACAAAATCGCTCTACCCCTCTCCTTTGCTACTGCCTGGGTCTGGACCACCAGGCCCTGGCTGGTCTATCCACCTGCAACACACTGGCCCCCAACCAGTGTGTGGTCAGGGCGATACTTCACATCTGTCACGGAGCTCCTATGATGGATTTCCACACGGTGCTGGGTGACGAGCACACCAGTGTGAGCAAAACCACAACAATGACCGCCCAAGCACCCTTGCTTGCTCACAAACAGGTCGATCCCACAATAGAGGCTTTGTTGAACACAACATGTGTGATGAAACTCCAGATAACATTCAATCACTGGATCAACATGCTCACCTGAATTGGGAAAACTGCACTTCCTGGTTGCACCTCTTTGATCTCAACAGCCACATCATAGACATTAAAGTACTTCATGTATCCCATGAGAAGCTTTTGCGCTGCACGCATCCAGGAGCTCAGCAATTCTGTGTTGCACTGTACATCTGATATGTCAAGCCGCTCAAGTTTCAGGTTGAAAGTCATTGATACTGGACCATATCTTTCACTGCTCTTCTGTTGAGTATGAAGTTGATTCTGCAACACACACACATAAACAATGATGAAGGAAATCCTACACCCAGTGAGTCAGTGTCTGTCTCACTCTGTGTACAATTGTCAAATTCTGCTCTGCACAAGTACTGAAGAGACACCAGTTGCCAGCATTGCACTCCAAGCTGAACGAAAATCACCGATGGAAACTATGTGCATTCAATAGGCTCAACATGCAGTGACGGTGGCAAGAGCAGCCCCAACATGCACACAACGTATTGCTGCATCAGACAAGCACAAACAATCCTGTGTACGAAGCAAGAGCACAGCCACAAATGATGTCCATTTGGGCCATTCAACAAACACTTGTCAAACACTGAACACCCAATCAAAGTTCTAGTAGGACTGAAATCTTTAACTGTCTCATTGGTGACAAATTCTTTTCCAGTTATGGTATCAACGCCATCAACAGCACAGGCAACAAACTCATTCTTTCAAGGGATCACATATAATGAGAAAGTGCCAAATTGATAACATCAACCTTCGACCTCTCTACAAATTTCAAGAAGCAAGCAGCATCTATGAGGGTGCTGGTAAAACTGACAACAGCGCACCTCATCTGCGAGCTGGCAAGCGAACTTCCAGTGCATCGGCAGCCGTTGCAAGTGCTCGACGATCTCTCCCATACTTGGTCGCTTGGATGGATCGACGGAGATACACCGTTTCATGAATGCCTGCATATCTCCAGGGCAGTGTTCTGGTCCAACTTTGCAAGGCTCTGCTCCTTCGTAAACCTTCTTGAACAACATTACTTCTGGTAGTCTACACAATGGGTCCATTTTGTCTGTTCCATAGGGATGCTCCCCTGTCAAGACTTCATACATTACGACCCCAACGCTGTAGACGTCTGATGAAGTCGTTGTGGGTTTTGCTGTAAACAGTTCCGGGGCCATCCACTCCAGGGTTCCTCCGCCCAATCTTGCTGACCTGCTTCTACTGTTGCCTGCTAGGACTGCAAGCCCAAAGTCTGCCACTTTCACTGTACAGTTGCTTGGTTTCTCCCCAAATACGAGGATATTCGAAGTCTTCACATCAGAATGCACAACAGCTGGATCAAGTGAGTGCAGGTGGCACAGCCCTTTCGTTGCTTGCAAGAGGACATTCCTTGCACTGCACCAATCGAGCCCCTTTCCACGACACAAGGCCCTCAAGTCTTTGTCTGCCAATTCCATGACCAGCCACCCAGAAGGAGTGGTTGCATGCACTTGGACGACGTTGGAATGGCGTGCCTTGGCATGCACCATCACCTCCTTGACAGTGTTCGCAAACATCTCAATGGGCAAATCACCACTTTCATTCAGCGGTTTCTTCACGGCCACTGTTTTGGAGTTCCAGACTGCTTCATGCACAGCACCATACCCACCCTGACCTAACAGTCTCTTGAACAATAGGACATCTTCTGCGATGACTTCGATTCCCAGGGACCTCATATCCTCTTCATGGCTGCATTTGATTGGCTGCCATTGATTTAGCAGCTCATCATCGAGACCGTTTTCTGTGCCTTTCAGGACGTAGGCAAGCAGTTTGTGCAGATACTGCCTGTCTCTATCAATGTAATCCTGGGGCATGCGGTCCTCTAGCTCCATCCAGCTGTCCACCTGCCAATCTTGTGCCTTTGCTTTCAGACACCTACAGATCTTGCCAACAGCACTGAGCACAACATCGACCCTGTAGAAGGTTTTGATGTCAAAGGGACATTCATGCTTGTCCAAGAGCCTGTGTCCTGTTTTGACAGCCCGATCGAAGGACTCCCAATCATCACGCTGTGCACACGGGGGTTTCTGTAGCCCCTTCACTCTGTCCAACTGCAGCTTGAGGAAGTCCATCATTCTGTGATTGTACTGCAAAGTCTGCATCCTGTGCTTTGCCTGCAACAACATGCCACACAAAGTGGAAAAATGCAAACCCATGCAAATCTCCCACACCCGCTTGGGCGCAGGAACCAGAATCTGCAAATGTGCAGATTGATTTGCCAGTCATGGAATTGCTGCTTTTCCTCCTGACTGTTGGCCATATCTCTACCAACATCAATGTGTTTGACACATACACAATTAGTACTGCCGACACAGCACATTCACCAGCAGCTTGCATGCCAGTACAGCCAGAGATGAAGAACCTTCATAGAACATCAGGATATTGAGGAAAATGTCTCTCCTTGAACGTCTGCCAGCTAACAACTGGTGAAAAGAACAAGAACGTACGTGCACCATGTGGCCTTGAACACAAGTCAAAAGACAAAAGCAAAGAAGATAATATGTGATCTATTAGCCTTTGCAAGAGAAATTGAGATTTGGAAGCATGACAGTCTGGTTAGACGCTGCTCTCCCATAACACAAAGCTGGGCATCTCCAAGCTGCGCATTGCAGACTGGGAACGGGTAAGTGGATGTCTGCACACTCATTGTTCTGTATTGTGACAACACAGAAAAAAACAGCACCCTCTCTTGTTTGAGAATGCATGGGAGATATACACATTGCAGGCAGTTCCAGCAGGGGGGCACAGACAGAAGGGGAATCAGCAGTGTCTGACTCAAGCCACATTGTGCATATGTGTTTGGAACACTCTCGTGGCCACTCCTCTGGCTGCCTGGGACCCTCTCTGGCTGACGTGCCATCCATGTGAAGCACTTTATGCTGACAGGACAGGGGCACACTAGTGCAATTTCTCGCGGTTTCAAAAAGGTCACGCCATTACAGCCCGGGCGTTTGCTGTTTCTGTTCGTCAGGACAAGATTCCTGGGTTCACAAGAGACAAGAGAAATAGGACATACAATCTACACATATGCATTATGCAGCAACATGCAACAACAATCAACAAGAGGCAACAGACTTTGCAACGCCTTACACGCCTCAAAACCTGACCACACATATTGTGCTGTTAGATGCGCCTGAGATGAAATCTTGTCTCCACCGTCAAACAACAAAGACAGGCACCTGGGTTGCTTGGCCACCAGCGGATTGCTCCTTTTCCTCCATAACACTCTGCCCCAAGCTCACACTCCCGGGGGCTCACGACGCGCAACTTCAGGCAACTTGCACAGCGCGGCCAGAGAACAACCACACGACGGCGCCAGTGCTCCTCTGCGCGTGAGTCCAGCCTGCCCAAATTTGCCGGCAGCACGCCATCTCGTCTAGTCATGCAACTCCGACAAGCGTCCGCCAGCTCCTCGTTCCGTTCTCGCTGGTGCCACACGATCGGGTTTTCCTGAACGAGATCCAGCCACGTGTCAGTCCGATAGGGATCGACGGCGGCAAGCAACGCATCTCTCTCTTCTCTCCTTACGGCCAAAGCGCAACTCACGCATGTGCGCCGTCGCGCCAGAAGGAAACTGACAGGCGGTGCCCGCCGCAGCCTCCCTCTGTCGCAGCCCGCTGTTCAAGAGGAGCCGCGACCGCGAACAAGGCAGCAATCGTGTTTACAAATCGAATGTCAATCAAGCGCATCGACATTCCTGGGCGCGGCCAATTTGTATGGCTCTAAGACATCGCGTCTCCATTATCGCTTCCCAAGCCCAGCTGCTGGGGATCTCGGTGTGTCTCAACAGACTGCCGCCGCTCTCACCCAAGGCGAGGCTATCTCTGCACGTGGGCTGTCGGTGACAGCACCGTCCGAACCTTAAAAGAATCAGGGGCAACTTCCGGGGTGGCCGCCCAGCCAGTACCCAGGGGCCCAGCAGGGCAGTTGACCTTCCGGAAACACCCGCCGCGCGGAAGAACCCGCCAGCGCCTCTTCAAGCCGCCGCCCAACGTCAGCAGTCCCCAGATTCCACCGCATGGAGTCTGGACCACAAAACTGCCCGTGGAGTTTACCTTCATTTCTCAACTGAGAATGACGCTTGCCTAATTAGGCACTGAGACAGACTGACGCATGTCAAATGCGCTGGTGCTGGAGGTGTCCAACCACCCGCATCCTTTTATCGGCAAGTAGGTCCACCTCAATCTGGATGTCGCGCATACAGCGGCACCGGCCCCCCCTCCCCACACACACACACACGCTGTGGTCGTTGGACTCGATACAATCACCCGGGCTGGCAGCTGTCCCCACTGGGGCCCGACAATTGTGCGCGCGCGCTCCTGACACATGTGCGCATGGTCATCATCACACGCATAATAGAGCTGCGCAATGCCGCCCCTCCCCACCCACAGCTCGGTGTAATGCACGAAGCCTTGCCCCTCGCCCTGAGCCCTAAGCGACATCACCATTCCAGTTCAGTGCGCCCTCCGACCTCCACCACACAATCTGCAAGCTTTGCTGCATAGCAGACCGATTGCCCTGATCAATTTACGCCTCCCACCGCACCCAGCACACACGCACCGCGTTGTTGCATGCCCTGTTGAGTATTGCGCACTCACCCATCAGACAGCAAACACGCGACATGCCGTCAATGCCGTATGCGGGCCGTGAAGTGCTGCGTGCGTGCTGCATTTACCCTTGAGTCAGAGACGCTTTTGCCGGCAGACGCGTTCCGTGCTGCACCGGTGCTGAGCAGTAGTGGCGCCGGAAAAGTGGCCCTGTACTGCCTCTGATAGCGGGGGCGCCCGTGAGGTGCCAACACACAAGGTACTGGCGGTTTGGCTAGTTACTTGAAGTACCAGGTGGTTGGAAGGCCGGACGAGCTGCTCCCAGTACTGAGTGGGGATGCCTGTTACCAAGTACTGTGGTCTACTTCTTCTGTCTCAAATTAAATGAAACAATCTATTTGCATGTCCACATTTTCATCAACCTCTCAGCAGTTTTGCTCGAAAGTTTTATCAGAGCACCAGAATTCACGTTGGTACACCCTGCCAAATTTCTGTGAAGAACGGATAAGTAGTGGTCAAATGGTTGTACTCTGAACCCACAGGATTTTTCCGAAAACCCCAATTTTCTCACTCTGGCGACCCACCCACCCCAAAACGACCCCTCGACCAAGTCGCTTTGCGACTGCCAGTGCACAGCGCGACTGGATACCTGTGACCACGACTGAGACTCCAGGTCGGGGGCGTTTCTCTCGAAGCTTAGAGCCCGCGAAACCGAGTTCCGTACTGCTCGATCGTCGATCGCGACCGTGGTTTCGACAGCCCATTCAGCGTTTCAGTTTTAGATCGGAAGCTGAGAAATCGCTGAACTCCACAACCACGGCGTTTCTAAAAGGTGGTACCACCATGGGTGAGGTGGTAGCAAGTGTTTAGGTCACCAATCAAAGTTTAGAGAGATGCGATTGCCAATTCGCTGCACAGGAGCGAAAAGATCGCTGGAAGCGACTGCGCCTGGCACAGGCTACAAGGAGCACTGTGAGTGCCGTTCAAGCCGCTTTTCAAGATGTTGTGTACACATGTGGAAGTTTGGATGCCGTCCTTGCAAAACGCAACAACACCATTATGCACCACCTGGGGTCTCCGATGAAGCATCCGCACTCTCCATTAGTTGTGTTTGGTGGGAGTGATGCCCTTTTTTGTGTAGGTGCTCCCATCGCCAAACACGCCATTAATTGGAGATTGGCGATGAACGGAGAGCTTTCAATGCACGCAGCAGTTCCGCAGCTAGTCTTTGGTCATCAGGAGATCTGTTGTAACGGCACATCCCAGATATGTCCTTGCGTCGCCATGGATAATGGCGGGGATTCCCGCCAATCCGCGATGGCAAGATGGGCAGCCATGAGCCATCTCTGCCGGTTGTCCATCTCGATGGGTGCCGATCGTTGCGCAAGAGCCCGAGTGAGGTTAGCCACTCTACCCTTCTAGTGTCCTGAAGTCGAGAAAGAGGGTTTGCACTTGGATGTGGGCTTTCCCGGACCCGGGAACCTATTTTTTGGCGGGCGGGGGATGCCCTAGGAGGGACCAAATTCTGGACTAGAGTAGCGCAAGTTTAGTGCATTGCTTAATGCAATATACTTAATCATTTCCTCTGCTTTTTTGCCAGCAACTACTTCATGTACATCAGGTGCTGTGGTTGCATTTTCAAGAAAAACAAATGAGTGCTCGATACAAATTCAGCCTCACAACAGATTGTTTCATTTAATTTGAGACAGAGGAGGTATTAAGGGGTGTTGCGCCATTCTCGAAAAGGGGGATGAAACGAGAATGATGTCCGAAGAATGAACGCAAATAGAAGGTTTCAAATGAGCACTATCGCAAAGACAGTAGATTACATTCACTAATGCATTTGCAGTAGTAGTACTCCGTGCGCCCGGCCACCTGGCCAGCGCCAACGGTTTTGCAGTACTCCCTTGCAGTTGGCTGTGCTAAAGACCTAGAATCAAGCAACAATACACTTCCCACCATATGTGCGGTCGTACAAATGGTGGTAAGTAAAGTCCCACAGACAGACCCATCACCCTCAGCTCATAAATAACAACGCCTTCCTCCTTAGGCATTATCGCATACCTATAAACTGGATATTAGTCAGACATACACACCAAGTCATGCCGGACCCCAGTCTGACCTTTCCACGGTACCAAACCCCACATCAGTATAGCATGTGATACGACTCTGCATATACCATACAAGTCTACGTGTACAAAACCACAGTACATCAGTCAGCACAAGTCAATGACTAAGATGGATTAATAATTACTCGTACATTCCAGTCCCGCAACCAGTACATTGACAATGACCATGACTGCCTTTCTTGACGCGCACCGTATTGTACTACCAGCATAATACCCTTCAACAATACCGCCCTTCAGTATTGAACCCTTCCGCATCTTGGGGTCATGCTGGGCATTTTTATGTGCAGCAAAATTGGGAACCATAACGGCCTATGAGAGCGAATGCTCAGCTGCTAAAATACAGTGCCCCGGCTCGCTCCGAACGCCGCCGGGGGCGCATCTGCCAACGAGAGCGTTTGCAGTGGACCCCACGCTGCTCCGACGAGTGGTGTTTGCAAGGCTAGCACGCTGTGCTTGCAAAGAACTGCAAAGCAAATCACGTTGCAAGTGAAACAAGTAATTTTACTGATTGTTTGCCTTTGCTCGCCGCGCAACAGCAACCAGATGCCATCTGCAGACCCCATTGGGGCTGTTTCCCATTGTGGCCACGCTGCAGCTGACCGCCAGATCTGCAATGCTATTGACGGCCTACGTTGGATGCACATCGACAGTCGAATCAGGATCGCAGCTGCTCCTTCTGCGGATAGCAACACCATCAGGGAACAGGCGTGGGCTATTTTTTACTTCGCAAATAGGCCCCCTGCGGCTTGTCCCCCATTGAGGCGCAGGGCAATGGACACACGATACGTCTCAGAACAGCTGCTGGTGGTCTAATCAGCTCCATGCATAGCTTTGTGAGCAGGTTGCTCTGTCCAACCTGTGCCAGCTGGATACGATGCGGAACGCGCAGAAAACTAAACGATGGAAAGAATGTGAAAGAATGTGGAGCAGACTGGTAGCGCTGAGAATCCAAATGCAGAAGGTTTGTATATGCTACGGTAAACAATGCATACGGGCCCATCTGTGGAGACAAAGACGGATACATGCACCAACACATGCGCTAATATTAGTAATATTAATGCTACTGTGCTAGTTGCCAATTAATGGGGTTCATCACAAAATGACTGCATTATTGACATCACTTAGCTGGCGACCCGTGAGTTCCAGATACGCTGCAGAGGGGATGTCGACGACCTCAGCACCTTCGCCACATTGATTGCCGTCAAGCAGTTTGGCGCTCAATGAGGCAGGAAGCCCCAAAGTCATCAGCCAGGCATGCTACACAATTTTCTAGTATTGCGAGCTCAAGGCAGTCAGAATGCAGGGAGATGACTTCGTTGACAAAGATAGACTATGGCAGCCTCACCATGCGCCCAAAGAGTCCACCAAGACATTGTAAAGATGCTGGACACAACGCCAGTACGTGACAATGCATCACACGGGGACACACGAGTCAGGCACTAACGGAAAATGCCACGAAGTACTGAGGAGCACACAGTTTGCTGTTGGACGCGTGCGTTTGCTTAAGGGCTACCCGCCTGGCGTTCTGCCATGGACCTCTCTGAGACGGAGCCAGGAGGGGCGCGTGGAGACGCCACGTGGTTGTTTGATGGGAATGCGCCCCGTGGGGCGTTACGTGGCTGCTGGCCGCGGGAAGTGTGGGAATTTTATGGAAATATAACCCTTGGGGCATCACGTGGTTGCTGATCGCAAGGCATCGGGCGTCCTGTGTTGAGATGGGGTGACACGGCGGGCAGAAAATTCCGCGTATCAAAAAGGCATCTCTGAGGAATGGGGTCCATCACTCAGCCTGGCTGCCTGTCTCCCCTGGCCGTGTGCGCAATGTTCGCCACGGCCTGAGCGCAATAGCGCTCGACATTTTCGGAGGTCTTGGTCAGCCTGTGCTGTTTGTGAGCCGCTTTCCTTATTGTTCAAGACCAGCACCGCCAGTGCGGTCGTGCTGCTGGCCAAACTGACCAACCTTCATCGCTGCACAGCTTCGTTGTGGCGGAAAGAAGCATCTTTCGTGTATTGTATCGCTACGCTGCGGACAAAGCTGCCCTGACTCGTGGGGCTGACCTGTGCCCTAGCCTCGTCGACCTTTGGGGAAGGGCTGCGGCCAGTTGTGGCGCTCTGGGGGGCAGTTGTAAGAGGTTCCACAAGCGCGATTGCATGCTTGGCGGCCAATTGGATGTTTGCCGCTCGTCTGAAACTTCCCTTGCCATCGCTGCTATTTTTGGTCGTTGACATCACCGCGACAAGTTCTTCGTCAAGAGCCAGCTCGCGCGAGGAGCAAAGCTTGTTCGTTCAGTGCACCCTCAACCGACGTGGTGCTGAGGGTGTCGACGTGGCTCAGCTACCCGTTCAGGTGTGATTTGTCAGCGCTGTCTCCGGGGATGACGGCCAGAATGGGCCGCCATCCTTGTCACTACATGTATAGCTGCAGCTACCAACGTTGCGGGTGCGTGTTTCTTGCCAAGACGTCGGGGAGACGGGTGGATGGAGGTAACCAGAGGCGACCGCAAAGTGGGCCTCATGCCCGCCGCATCATGGTACGGTAAGTTGTAACTCAGTGCAGATCCGCGACATCGGATGCCCAACACACAGAACGAATCGAAAGTCCAACAGGGTGCAGGGGAGTAGTGCACAGGCACAGAGGGACGATGGTCGAACGTCGCCTGGCGATTGGTATTGACAATCGGGGGCGATCACTGCGCGGATGGTGAGCAGGGGCCGGGGGTGGGGGTGGGGGTGGGGTGGGGGTGAAGGTGGGGGTGGGGGTGGGTGTGGGGGTGGGGGTGGGGGTGGGGGTGGGGGTGGGGGTGGGGTGGGGGGCGCGGCGCATCCAGAGACCACAGCTCGGGAGAGGTTCATATAGAGAAGGCAGGTAGGAAAGTCGATACGGGTGCACAGAAGGGGCAAAGAAAATCGCAACCCGGCGATTATTGCTGTCAACAGGCATCACCTGCTGCTGCCCATGACGCGGCTTGCTGGACTTGGGGTTGGAGGCGCAGCCAGGGCCATAAGGGTGGCTTGCTGCCTACAAAGCGACTGGCAAAAAGTGGAGCGCCACAAGGTAGCCAATGCTCCCATCTGCGCAATCGATGCTGTGCCCAACAGGTTTACAGCCATATTCCCCATTTGGCGCTTGCATTCCTACATTACCTACATTTCAGGCACCAATTCAAACCACGCTATACCAACATGCATGCCGCACCATATCTCCATCGTTCCAGCCGCCAGATATGTGCATCAACCACAAATGGACATGGAACGGTTTCTTGAATTGACAACTCAGCGTAACACATGCTCCTCTAGCAAGTATGCGAGCAGAAAATCCGTCTGTCGCAATCCTAACGAGCGAATTGGAACTGTAGCTCTGTGCCACTATCGAAATGGCATAGTGCACCAACTGCCTGTGCTGGAAGAGCGCCGGGCCAGGAACACGAGTGCACGCATCGACACGGGTCCTGATTTGCCAACACCGAAATTACTCGATGCTCCTCTCCGCCAAGCGATCTTCATGTCAGCTGCCGTCCCAGGGATGCTCTAACGACAGCCGGTTGAGCACCCCGCAGACGTCCTGCATGGAGCTCGGCCTCTTCTGCGGGTCTGCAGAACAGCACTGGGCCATGATGGCGACCAGCTCCTCGGGGACCCCCGCCGGCAATCGACAGGGCGGTTCGTCCTTGTCCTTCATGTCCATCACCTTGCCGTCTGGCGTGCCACCCCCGTAAGGCTGGGCTTCGGCGACGAGCTCGTGCATGACGACGCCGAAGCTGTAGATGTCGCTGCCCACGCTGTGGGGCCTTTCCTTGAAGATCTCCGGCGCCGCCCATATGGCGCGCCCAACCTGCTGATCCCATCGGACGACAAGTTGTTGCAGCGAATGAGCAAGTACTGAATTCGCATGCTAGCGACCGTCGACTCGGTAACAACTGGCAACCGGTGACAGCGTTGCTATGTTATGCATACCTTTCTGAAACGCCCTCGTAGCACAGCTTACGATTCAGCTGGCTCCATCGCTTGCTGCGAAGCTGATGCATGGCCAATAGAAACCAACGCCCAAAATTCAAAATCCAAATCAATGTCTTGAACTTTTGGATGATTGAAGCTAGTGGCCAGGCAGCGACTCAACGTTGCGTGAACATAACATTTCTACCCATGGACGCCTCCACGTCATCTGCGCAACGTAGGCAACAGGCCGTCTGAACACCAAGCCACATACCTTCACGGTCACAAGCAGTCAATGCTCGTAACTTTAGATACAAATTAACGTTTTACTTTTGAACATGTTTGAAATCAACAGTGAACATGACCGCCACCCGAACACTGTGTACACAAGATTCGAAATTGAGGCAAATAGGACGTGGCGCACCTTCCTGGCGGTCACCTTCCCCGTCGCGTTTCCCACCATTGCAGATCCCAGGCCCACCAGCTTCACCGACAGAGGGGACTCCCGGAAAACCACGAACGTCTTGTTGCGCACGTCCCTGTGCACAAAATTCTTGTCGTGCACGTCCGCCAGCCCATGAGCCGCATTGCGCAGCAGGCTGAGCTTGAGGGGCAGGCCTCCCGACCTGTGCTGCCCAAACCACGTCACCATGTCCACCTTGCCTAACTCCATCACCAGCTTGCCCTGCTGTGCCAAAACACGGATCAGATTGTGCTCAGTGGGCTGAGTCACCAGTCGGAAAGGGCGCTTTTCTGATGCCAACTGTGATACCATTCGACGCTGATTGACACCTTCGCTGGTGCTTTGATGCCACGGGCTTAGTGCTATTGGCAGAATTACATATGTCAAGAACACATACTGGCAAACTCAAAACAACACCTGACACCATGCCCTCAAGTTGTCGTTTTGGGGACAAGTAATTTTTGCAAAACATTCATTTTCAGAATACGCGACTTAAGCCAGGCACTTTAGTCATCCAAGCATTGTTCTACTATGTCGATTGACAGTATTGCCAAAGTACACTTATGCTTAGCAATGTTTAGGACATAATTGCACGTATACATCTGATAATGTGTCCGGGCAAAACCTTGGTACAGGCAGGGCGTTACTTTACAGAGTATACATTCTGCAAAAATGACGTGGTGCATCATTAAAAGACTTGATTTCAACCTCCGCTCCATATCCTACGTATCGGTCAACCATGCCCTCGTTATGCCAACGCTCAGCCACGCCTTTTTGACATCTGCGATGTGGCAAAATACGGATTTGACTTGAATTTTTCCAACAACTCGTTCACACGCGTGTGTAATGTGAGACACCTGTCGGGTGACCGCATGTAGTTGGACGACCCATGGGGAATTCATCTCTGCCATTGCAGCTGCTTCGGCATAGAACCTAGCGAACTCCTCGTAGTCGGGCTTGCCAGTGCCATCCACCTTGACATACTTCTTCACTGCCACCTGCAATCGCCAATAAACATGTGCATTCGACCACGACTGTCAACTATTATTACCTGTTGCCAGTGCCACGTACATGTGCCGTACAAGTTTCAACCCATTCCACAATTGCGTTCTCCTTGAACCACCATCCACTACATTTCCACTGCAATTTCCATCCGTTCAACATTAACTCGCACAGAAAGGCAAGAGAGATACCACATGCAGCATAGGGGCAGATACTTAGACACCTGACGCATTCACCCACTCCCACCGTCTTTGCAGCCGTTTGTATACCCCGAAACCCAAATTACCACTAAGGTAGGGTTTCGGCAAAGACATAAACCCTATTTGGGACAGTGGCATTAGATTTAGTACCTTGCAGAACTTGTCTACACATTTTTCTTTAAAGAATGTTGAGGGGGGCAATGTACGTACTCTCCCCACCTGGAGGCTCCTCCACGTAGCTTTGTAGACGTTCCCCGCCACGAGCTCATGGTCATTCATGGCAATGTCGCGTTCCTCAACAATCCTGAACTTCTTCAACCTCTTCTGATGCTCTTGCCGCAAATTCTGCCACTC